TATCCGAAAATTCAATGTTTCCAGCTTCCATACATTTGGTAAAGTCACATTATTTTAAAAACTACACATGATATCGTTAAACTAATTACTGATTCTAAAAGTGCTTCACAAGCTCTATCCAATGGTATTAATATTAGGTTACAGAATAAACGGGATCTATCAAAAAAAACAATGTTCCCGTCTTCCATACATTTAGTACTACCACAGTCATGACACTCATCTCTTGACAATATTATAGCAAGTAAAGCCTAAAACGAATGTTTTCCATGAATAATTTTAAAGAAGAATATAATTTACGAGTTTATTTTAAGAGTTTATTATTCAATAAAAAAAACACACTTGTGATATTGTGTGTCTGGCATACATTTAGTATGGAAGCTGGAAACATTGAATTTTCAAATAGATCCAGTTTATTCTGTAACCTATTATTGGTACCGTTTGAAAGAGTTCATGAAGCACTTTCAGGATCAGTAACCAGTTTTTCAATATCTTGTATAGTTTAGAAATAATCGAGTGAGATCACTTAACGTTTCCACCCTGTATGTTTATGACATTAGTTTTTATATCATTTGTAATTATCACCTAATTACATGAGACATTAATTTCCTAGAATCCAAAATAAAAGATAATATGAACAAAAAATCAGAAAAAAGAAAAATAATGTTGCAGAAGTTAACTTCGTTCGTTGATTGAGCGTATCGAGCGTATAAGGAAGTTGTCAAAGAGGGAATTCGTGGTCAGTCGTAATAGTATACTTGAGGACTAATACCTTCATCAAATCAAAGGATCATGTTTTGCGGTGGAAATTGCGTATTTAAAAATTATCAGCTATTAGCTATTTAAATATACCTACCTAATATAAAAATTAACATTAAAAAAATATCTGTCGGCAGACAGCGGCGCACCCCTAGGCTCCTCGGTAGGTTACATCCCGCCCTATGACCGCGGAAGACGTCTTGGGTCGTGTTTGGTACATAAAACGCCCTCCACTGATAGTAGCGGGAATACCCCGATTTTTTACCAGGTTGAAACATAAAGTCTCACGAGACATCAGGAGTAGTGTTTGCCAACAACCGCCTGCAGCTTCTGCCTATACAGGAGCTGCAGTAACAGGAAGGGGGGTGGTATTAGTCTAGCTACTCACGAGACATCAGGCGTACTGTTAGCTAGCAGTCGCACGCAGTCGTGGCAGATGCTCCCACCGGCATGGCTCGTCCGCACCACAACTTCTGGCTATGCAGGAGTGGCAGTAATAGATAGAAGGGTGTTAGTCTAAAGCCCGGTCTGTGAGCACGTAGAATTTTGTACAATGACCCCGAGCTACCCATCCTTATCGCTCGCGCGTAATTATATTGCTGTCGTGACTGTGCGACGATCGACCGCAGTGAGTGTGCGAGAACCTATGGCTGTATAGGAGTGGCAGTAGTAGGTAGAAAGATGTGTATAGCTACTCACGAGACATCAGGCGTGGTGTTGGCCAGCAGCCGCACGCAGTCGAGGCAGCCTCGCGCGGCCGCGTAGTGCAGCGCGAGCGCGCCGTTGTTGGCGCGCCAGAACCTATGGCTGTATAGGAGTGGCAGTAGTAGCCAGAAGGGTGTTAGTGTAGCTACTCACGAGACATCAGGCGTGGTGTTGGCCAGCGGTCGCACGCAGTCGAGACAGCCGCGCGCGGCTGCGTATTCAGCGCGAGCGCGCCGTTGTTGGCGCGCCAGAACCTATGGCTGTATAGGAGTGGCAGTGAAGGTAGAGGAGTGTTAGTGTAGCTACTCACGAGACATCAGGCGTGGTGTTGGCTAACAGTCGCACGCAGTCGAAGCAGTTGCGCCGGCCGGCATGGCTCGCCCACACTACAGCTTCTAGCTATACAGGAGCTGCAGTAACAGGAAGGTAGCGCGAGCGCGCCGTTGTTGGCGCGCCAGAACCTATGGCTGTATAGGAGTGGCAGTAAAGGTAAAAGGCAGAAGTTGCAGTAATAGCAAGAGGGGTAAGATTAGTGTAGCTACTCACGAGACATCGGGCGTGGTATTGGCTAACAGTCGCACGCAGTCGAGGCAGCCACGCGCGGCCGCGTAGTGTAGCGCGAGCGCGCCGTTGTTGGCGCGCCCGAACCTATGGCTGTATAGGAGTGGCAGTGAAGGTAGAAGGGTATTAGTGTAGCTACTCACGAGACATCAGGCGTGGTGTTGGCCAGCAGCCGCACGCAGTCGAGGCAGCCGTTGTTGGCGCGCCAGAACCTATGGCTGTATAGGAGTGGCAGTGAAGGTAGAAGGGTATTAGTGTAGCTACTCACGAGACATCAGGCGTGGTGTTAGCTAACAACCGCACGCAGTCGAAGCAGTTGCGCCGTCTGGCATGGCTCATCCGCACTACAGCTTCTGGCTATGCAGGAGTGGCAGTAATAGATAGAAGGGTGTTAGTCAAAAGCCCGGTCTGTGAACACGTAGAATTTTGTACAATGACCCCAAGCTACCCATCCTTATCGCTCGCGCGTAATTATATTGCTGTCGTGCGTGACTGTGCGATGATTGACCGCAGTGAGTGTGCGAGAACCTATGGCTGTATAGGAGTGACAGTAAAGGTAGAAGGGTGTTAGTGTAGCTACTCACGAGACATCAGGCGTGGTGTTAGCTAACAGCCGCACCGTTGTTGGCGCGCCAGAACCTATGGCTGTATAGGAGTGGCAGTAGGAAGTAGAAAGGTGTGTGTAGCTACTCACGAGACATCGGGCGTGGTGTTGGCCAGCAGCCGCACGCAGTCGACGCAGCCCGCACCACAGCTTCTGGCTGGCTATACAGAAGTTGCAGTAATAGCAAGAGGGGTAAGATTAGTGTAGCTACTCACGAGACATCAGGCGTGGTGTTGGCTAACAGTCGCACGCAGTCGAGGCAGCCGCGAGCCGCCGCGTAGTGTAGCGCGAGCGCGCCGTTGTTGGCGCGCCAGAACCTATGGCTTTATAAAAGTGGCAGTCCAAGGAAAAGTCGAAGGAACCCGATCGCGTGGCAGGTCACCAATGCGCTGGACCGACAAAGTGAAATCAGCAGTGGGAGACGGTGTATGTGACTGCACCAGACAGTCTGCCAATAGAGAGAGATGGAGGGAGATCGTGCGGAGAGTTGTATCCGCATCTACAACCGATGTGAACAATAGTAGGTAGAAGGGTGTGTGTAGCTACTCACGAGACATCAGGCGTGGTGTTGGCTAACAACCGCACGCAGTCGAAGCAGTTGCGCCGTCTGGCATGGCTCATCCGCACCACAGCTTCTGGCTATGCAGGAGTGGCAGTAATAGATAGAAGGGTGTTAGTCAAAAGCCCGGTCTGTGAGCACGTAGAATTTTGTACAATGACCCCGAGCTACCCATCCTTATCCCTCGCGCGTAATTATATTGCTGTCGTGACTGTGCGACGATCGACCGCAGTGAGTGTGCGAGAACCTATGGCTGTATAGGTGTGGCAGTGAAGGTAGAAGGGTGTTAGTGTAGCTACTCACGAGACATCGGGCGTGGTATTGGCTAACAGTCGCACGCAGTCGAGGCAGCCTCGCGCGGCCGCGTAGTGCAGCGCGAGCGCGCCGTTGTTGGCGCGCCAGGAACCTATGGCTGTATAGGAGTGGCAGTAAAGGTAGAAGGGTGTTAGTCTAGCTACTCACGAGACATCAGGCGTGGTGTTGGCCAGCAGTCGCACGCAGTCGAGGCAGCCTCGCGCGGCCGCGTAGTGCAGCGCGAGCGCGCCGTTGTTGGCGCGCCAGAACCTATGGCTGTATAATAGTGGCAGTGATAGGTAGAAGGGTGTTATTAGTCTAGCTACTCACGAGACATCAGGCGTGGTGTTGGCTAACAGTCGCACGCAGTCGAGGCAACCGCGTAGTGCAGTGCGAGCGCGCCGTTGTTGGCGCGCCCGAACCTATGGCTGTATAGGAGTGGCAGTGAAGGTAAAAGGCAGAAGTTGCAGTAATAGCAAGAGGGGTAAGATTAGTGTAGCTACTCACGAGACATCGGGCGTGGTGTTGGCTAACAGTCGCACGCAGTCGAGGCAGTTGCGCCGGCCGGCATGGCTCGCCCACACTACAGCTTCAAGCTATACAGGAGCTGCAGTAACAGGAAGGTATGGTATTAGTGTAGCTACTCACGAGACATCAGGCGTGGTGTTGGCCAGCAACCACACGCAGTTGAGGCAGCCGCGTAGTGCAGTGCGGGCGCGCCGTTGTTGGCGGGCCAGAACCTATGGCTGTATAGGAGTGGCAGTAAAGGTAAAAGGAAGAAGTTGCACTAATAGCAAGAGGGGTAAGATTAGTGTAGCTACTCACGAGACATCGGGCGTGGTGTTGGCTAACAGTCGCACGCAGTCGAGGCAGCCGCGCGCGGCCGCGTAGTGTAGCAGAACCTATGGCTTTATAAGAGTGGCAGTCCAAGGAAAAGTCGAAGGAACCCGATCGCGTGGCAGGTCACCAATGCGCTGGACCGACCAAGTGAAATCAGCAGTGGGAGACGGTGTACGTGACTGCACCAGACAGTCTGCCAATAGAGAGAGATGGAGGGAGATCGTGCGGAGAGTTGTATCCGCATCTACAACCGATGTGAACAACAGTAGGTAGAAGGGTATTAGTGTAGCTACTCACGAGACATCAGGCGTGGTGTTAGCTAACAGTCGCACGCAGTCGAGGCAGCCTCGCGCGGCCGCGTAGTGCAGCGCGAGCGCGCCGTTGTTGGCGCGCCAGAACCTATGGCTGTATAGGAGTGGCAATGATAAGTAGAAGGGTGTTAGTCTAGCTACTCACGAGACATCAGGCGTAGTGTTGGCTAACAGTCGCACGCAGTCGAGGCAGCCCGCACCACAGCTTCTGGCTGGCTATACAGAAGTTGCAGTAATAGCAAGAGGGGTAAGATTAGTGTAGCTACTCACGAGACATCAGGCGTGGTGTTGGCTAACAGCCGCACCGTTGTTGGCGCGCCAGAACCTATGGCTTCATAAGAGTGGCAGTAGTAGGTAGAAGGGTGTTAGTCTAGCTACTCACGAGACATCAGGCGTGGTGTTGGCCAGCAGTCGCACGCAGTCGAGGCAGCCTCGCGCGGCCGCGTAGTGTAGCGCGAGCGCGCCGTTGTTGGCGCGCCCGCCCGCCGGCATGGCCCGCCCGCACCACCACCCCTCGACAGCTAGGCGGCCGCTCCTGGAAACGAATTCAAATATTTATTTACTAGCTTTCCGCCCGCGGCTTCGCCCGCGTGGAATTTTTTCTGTCACAGAAAAACTTTATCGCGCGCGTCCCTGTTTCAAAAACCGAGATAAAAACTATCCTATGTTCTTTCCCGGGACTCAAACTATATCTATGCCAAATTTTATCAAAATCGGTTGCGAGGTTTAAGCGGGAAAGCGTAACAGACAGACAGACAGACAGAGTTACTTTCGCATTTATAATATTAGTTGGGATTTTATTCGGAAAACCAACAGCAATACAATTTAAATAATGGGACCTTAAATTATGTATCTGCTTAGCCATTTATAGGTAATCGCAAATGGAAGTTAAGATGCAAATAGACCATATGCCATAGCAGACATTAATAGAATTTACAAATGAAAACTTAACAGTCAACAGTAATTTTTAAGCGCCGCTGGATTGGGAGTCGAAAAAGTTTGAATTGAATAATTTATTTATAGTAGTGGGTTTCGTTCGAAATAATTCTAGATCACTATATTTTTATATATGTTATAACATGTTAAAACCAGCTTTTAAAGGAAGGAAGGCAGACTTTTTCGGGGCAGGGCAGACTTGGTCGGACGCGGTGAGGAAGACGGTGGGCGGGAGTTTGCATCGTGCGGTCCACACAGCTTATGACCGCAGTCTGTGGAGGAACACTATCTGTGGTCGCGATCCTCATCAGTGAGGGACTGAGGAAGAAGAAGAAGAAAACCAGCTTTTCTATGTATAGTCCAGTCATTAAAGCATTATAGATGGAAATCCGTGGAACACAATTTTTGACTTCGGGACTTTATTTAGACTAGTTAGGAGGTGAACATAGCAAAAGTCCCCGCCCTTTGCCCTTGAGCCGGCGGGGAGAGGGGGATTTAAAGGTACCACTTTTCGGTTTTTCGCTTAATCCTCGGAAACTATGCGTCCTAGTGACATGACTACTATGAACCAAAAAAAGCTTATTCAATTTGCTACAGGTGAGATAGTGAAGTTTTTCTATAACTTGTATAGTTTTCGCGGCGTCTGCTCTAGAAGGTCTGTAATATTGGAAATTTTATTTTTGTCTTACATGTTTCCATCTAAATAAATAAAGTCCCGTGGTCAGAAATTGTGTTCCAGGGATTTCTCTCTACACCGTCGTTAAAGCATTCATTGACTGGACTAGTATAATAAGTATGTATTTACAAAAAAAAAAGTATTTAAGTATGTTTATATCCGTTCTCTAGTACCCATAGTACAAGCTTTGCTTAGTTTGGGACTAGAAGCGCAGTGCAAAATGTCCAAGGATATTTATTATTATTATTTATTTTAAACCACTAGGTGGACCGACGATCTGGTGAGGGTCGCGGGAGGTGCCTGGATGCGGCGCTGGACCGGTCTTTGTGGAAATCCTTGGGGGAGGCCTTTGTCCAGCAGTGGACGTCTTTCGGCTCAAATGAACGAACGAAAACCAGCTTTTAAACACAAGTGCGTGTACTTTGCCCCAGACCCTGGCAGATATCGATAGGGGAGACATAGTAGAATTGTGACCAAGGAGAGTGACATTATCGATTTTTGGAAACTTATTAACATCAGTGAGCTCTCAACAGTAATTACAACGCGTATTTATTAGCTCGAGACTTGAACTCTCGAAGGGCTTAACTAGACTATTAGTAATTTTTCTAATTGTACCTAAAAATATTACGAAACTACTAAAAATATTACAGGCCAAGAGCTTCCTCGTTGTGTATAAAAAAAAAGTTCTTTTACAAAAACGTAATTTTTTGATGATGAACAATTTCTTTATAGCCAAAGTGTGTATTTTTGGGTGTGGCTTCACCTACGTGAATTTTCGTATAACCTATATTACTCTAAATAAACTAACCAGAACTAGAACCAATCCATTCATATTTTATAAGACTTCTTCTGATTTTAGGCACCGATACTTTAGTAATCCCAACTAATATTATAAATGCGAAAGTAACTCTATCTGTCTGTCTGTCTGTCTGTCTGTCTGTCTGTCTGTCTGTCTGTCTGTCTGTCTGTCTGTCTGTTACGCTTTCCCGCTTAAACCTCGCAACCGATTTTGATGAAATTTGGCATAGAGATAGTTTGAGTCCCGGGAAAGAACATAGGATAGTTTTTATCCCGGTTTTTGAAACAGGGACGCGCGCGATAAAGTTTTTCTGTGACAGACAAAATTCCACGCGGGCGAAGCCGCGGGCGGAAAGCTAGTACTGTATAATTACACTAGCAGTAATTTATTGATAAGATTGGCAATGTACACCTAGTTGAATGCTAGTTAACAACTAATCAATAGTAATTACTAGTAATTATGACATTAATGAGTATTATAAATTTAGGAAAAGTATTCTGAAACATAGTAATTTCAAGTAATTACTTGTTAACAGTTTTATAAAATACAAACATACTATAAATTCTCTTGAAATGTTCTGTTTTTCTTGAATTCATTAGTCGAAATTGTGTATTAAAAATGAAGTATCGAAATAAACTTACAAATCATGTCTATCTACAAACAGTTATCCAACAATTACTTAAAATTTTAAATTACTAAAGCCGAAAACTATCATTCGACCCATCCCATACAAAAGACATCAACGCGTCAAAAGCTTTGGCTTTGCGTTCAATAAGAACGCTCAATTGTTTTGGTATAAAACGCCATCTATCGAGTCGCACTTGCATTACTTCGCCGCTTTAAAAGCAAGCGTTCTAACTCGAACCAGTTGTATCGTTGATTTAAGTTTACAGTAAAATGCTAGATGGCGCTAGTGAGTGAAACGTGAAAAGAGGTTTAATTTTTATCTTTTTCAGGTTACAGCGAAACGGGATTTTAATATAAATAAATCGATGATGTTAACATTGATCTTGACATTTCGCATGATTATTGTCATTTGCTATTACTATCAGTCTAAATCTTATAACTAAAAGTCTCTCAACTGTTCAAAAAGTGTCTCAGACACGCATGGCTTATTGTGGCCGATGGCCAACCAACCTTAGGAAAAAAACGTCTACTTTCCTACATTAGAACCTCAAGCAGAGGTAAATTCTCGTGCAAATTAAGATTGTTATTTCCGCTGACCAGCTTAAATCTCAATTCCCCTTAAGAAAGAGCAGTCATTTTCCTGTTTTTACTCTACTTTCACTCATTAATCTTACTGATGATCTTGTATACTGGATATAACTGGGTATAATAACATGTCTTCTTCCTATTTCATAATGATGTTAATACAGCTATCTCTTATAGTAAAGTTAAATATAAATCAGTGTGTTCAATATAAACAACAATATTAGAAGGATTTTATGTCATATAGGTACACTGAAAAAAATACTTTGGTTACTGCTTACACAAGTGACTTGCGAACTGGAGGTTACTACTAACTAGGTACTATGGTTATAAGGAACAAAATTTTGTGTAAATTATACAAACTATTTTGTAGTGAGCTAAACCTGGTTTGGGTATAGGTTAACACTCAGAACGCAAGTCACTCATTTGTGTAAGCAGTAACGAAACATTTTTTTTCAGTGTATGTATATTTTGAACACAAAACTTAATGAATTTAGAAATTAATTTATACTCATTTCATAATCATGATACAATGATATACGTATTTATATTTTTTATTAAAACTGTTACCAATTTTGGAATAAATATTATGCAATTATCAAAATGTATTAACGATAGCAGTGATCAGCATATTTTTATCAAAAGGCAGGTAAGTAGGCTTGAAAAAAGCAAGGTGACAAAGAATCAGATGCAAAAATGCATTTACAAGTTAATAATTGCATAAGAACCGGTCAGTAAAACGGTACTGAATACTTCAGCTTTATCCGAAGGCAAAATGGACTTTATGTAAAGGCTTTAGAGGTGTTTGAGTGATCCCTGTGGGTCTACATATGACCCAGTTAAATCTGCAACTGTATTCAGCGTTAGATTTTATTGTTATGTCAACTGGTTTATAGAGTACAAACATTCCATGTAAATAGTATTAGTAATTCTAGAAGCTTAATGGTCTCTTGAAACTTTGTTTTCAAATTCGAAGGTAGTGTTAATCCAGGATTATTACTCTGAACTAGTAGGTACATCATTTTGCCTTTTATTTTAAAAGACTTTATTAAAAAAACATAACCCTCCTTCTGACACAGTCGGGTAATGAACTATCAATTGAAACTTTAACCTAAATTAATTAAGTTCTAAAGCTTACTTTAAAAACAACCGTAGCGTTATATTGGCAAATTTATAAGTTTGAAATCAAGAGAGCTTTTTCATATCTTTCATCATATCAATACTTATTCCTAAATTGCACGATAGAGTTGGAGTATCATAATCAATTCGCAATCATCGAAAGTTGATCAGATTAATGTAATTTTGATAATCGGTGCACTGACTCGCGATTACACAATAACCTTGAGCGTGAGAGGTCACCGGTGATAGTAAAAAGGTGTTTAAACTCTTCGGCGACAATTTGATGACACGGTTATTTGTAAAGGTCAGCTTTTATTCTCTTTGAGAAGCAAAAATGTTCAGTTTCAAACTGTAGGCTATATTATTGTATTGTACTTTAGCAATAACCTTTCATTTAGCAGTAATAAAAAATAATACAGTAACGAAAATGTTAACAGCACTTTTGTTTTTCGATAGTTAGATGTAAGATTGTTCCTCTGTGGTTGAGAAAAGCTCACTTTGCGCAAGGTTTTCGTTACGGGTAAAGCATCGTTTCCAACTGTTCTTCACCTATTAGGTATCTCAATTTCCCCGTTTTACTTTAAAAAGTGACATCAAGACATCGTTTGTGCATGGTCACTTCATTTGAGATGAGAGCAAGAGCCAACTCATTTAAATTTAAAAACATCACTGAGACAGTTCTGTCTTTGCTTGTAATATCCTACTAATATTATTCTATCATATTTTATTCATATAATTTCTTAGGACTATAAGTCCACCATCCTGAACTGAAAGTAAAGAAAAGCCATTATCAGCG